TTATCTTCGGCCAGATTCCCATTCAATTCCATTTCCATTACGTGCACGTGGTCCTCTGCTGCGGTTCACCATCACTACTGTGTCCTCTCTCCCACACACGCACCACGATTCAACGCACGAGTCCAAACCCCGCGATCGGTCGTCTGATTAATTATTTTCACCGTTCCGCAAACACCTTTCACAAATCCTCCCATCGGACTGCCGCGGCTGCTCCAGTAATATGGCTCCAATATAAGTTCTCTATCCATTAGTTGACGGTGGCTCGCACAACGAAGGGCAGGGAGTCGTATAAGGAGACGAAATAATAGTTAAAATATCATCGTATAATATAACGCGCTCTTTGCACCGAATGCCATCAAAAGATCCGTCGCCTACACGTGTTGTCTATGAGTTAGATAAAGGGATAGAGAAAGAAAAAAGAAAGACCATAGCAACACATGTATTACAATATAATATTGTTTTGAACATCGAATATTGTGTCCTCGGTATATTGTATATAGAAACTATAAAAGATTTTTTTTTAATTATATTCAAATTTATAACGCATTGACTATTAACTCAATACGTTTGAATACAAAAACGGAAAATAAACAATACAAACGGTCTCGTTAGATTTTCTTCTTATGCATTATGCAACCTAAATATAATATGTGACATACGCATACGCATATTGTTAAATTTAAATTGTTTAATCAAATAAAAAATTAATTTTATGTGGCGGAAACAAACGTTAGCATTTGATGTATCACGCAAGCGCGAATTTTTTTGGACAACGTATTTTCGTTATTTAAAAATAAACGTTTTAATCATATTTATAATGCTTTCATTTAACAAAAAAAAAAAATAAAATAAATATATATATACATGGGTGCACGTATGTTTGTACGTGTATACATCATCCAGCGTTAATTATAAATATTTTTACAAGAACGTATCTTGAATTTTATTTATCACACGAAAAAAATTATTTTAGATCTAATAGTGATGTGTTAAAAATTAGAAATAGTTTTAACCATATTATAGACTATACGATTAATTGCGTTCAATCTATTATACATTGACTTAATTTTAAATCACAAATAACAATTACTCATTTGCGGTTATACAGTGGACATAAATGTAATAGACCATTTTATTATTTTAAGTTTTTATTAATTTTATAGAATTTTGATCGTAGAAAAATAAAAAAACGTTTGCATGATTTTTGCTATGGAGTATATATGTAAGTGTTTTATAAGAAAACTTGTGTTTATTTTAAATATACATTACGAGTAAACATTTTTAAAGCATCATGGTACCAAACACGATTTAATAAACAAACATCTATACAGCACATTAAGAAGCGTACGAACGGATGATACATAATGATACGTAGTAGGTCCATACATTTCATCATTAGTGCCAATTATTTTCAGTTCCGGGGTTATATATTTCAAATTCTATTTCAGTAATTTCCCGTTTTTTGATAAATATTATGTTCTGCTTAATTTTATTTTATTCTAATTTTTATCCACGTGTATTTATTAGGTTAGCGTATATAATTATAACAATATTATTCTGTTTGCTTTTTTAATTTAATATGTATTTTTTTTTTAAATGATGCACCTAAATGATTTTACGTAATAATATTAAAAATAATACTAACGACAAGAAATCCTATCGAAATTATAATTATTATTTTTGCTACTTTTGAACGCGAAACTTAACGTACAAGACGATTATATTAGTAGTGTTTGAAAATGTTATTGCACAATAATATTATTAATGTTTTCAACTACCGGTAAAAGGAACAATTACTACTCGTACTATACGTGTTTAACATTTTAGACATGGTGGTAGCATTGAATAGTTTTAATTCTTCTTTGAAATCATTGTCCTTACAACCGTGTGTCGACGTTCTGTACGACATTCACAGTGCTAGGATTTTCGTGTGGAGCCCTTGAGACGGTTTTTTTTTCATTATTATTTCTTCGTTTTCAGTTAAAACGCAGTTACACGGAACTACGACATTACGATGGATACAAATTTTACAAATTCGTTATTATCCACAGGTCTGTGAGTGAAGTGAATGTGAAGTAAAACTTATTTCGTTACTAAACCGTTATGGGCGGCGACGGTGGTGGCTAGTATTTTTCCGTTCTTCACGTCATCTTTACAAGAGTAGACCACGTGTTAGCGCGGGGGCGCCCACCAACTGAAATAGCCGCGACATCACAAACGGACGTCACGGTCTGTGTAATCATATCTATCAGTTTATTTCTGTCATCGCCGTCACTATAATGCACGTCCAGAGACCTTCCGACGAAGTCAAAACCGTTTTGTTTTTCGTACAGTGTGTCCCTGTCGAAGGTGCGTCCTCTAGCCGCGAGTGTGTGCGCGCACGTAATAATAACATATAAAGCATACGTAATGCATAGTTATTATTGTTGTGGACTATAAACATTATGTACCACGCGAGCACATGTTTACGTGGTGACGTAAAATGTTACGAAAACATATGTGTTTCCTCCAAAACCCGTTCTTTAACGTACGGAAGTTTTTGATTGTTTTCGCTTTTCCAACGTAATCTTATTATTATACACTCATATTTAATTTATTATGCCGTCAGTGAATAAAGGATTAAATTGATACTTCGATTTTTTAATCAGCTAATGAATATTTTTTGTTTACTTTTATACAGTAAGGTGTTTAATTAAACGTACATACGCGTGATTGTTTTTAAAAAAACAGTTTGTTACATAATGTGTAACTGATGAGTAAGTTAGTCGAGTAGTTTATTATTTCTGATCATTGCATCTACCCTTTTATGTACATCAAAAACGTAAAATGGCGTAATTGGTGGTACATTTATTATTTGCTGTAGAAAGCTATAAAAAGAACAAATTAAGTTACAAATTTGTTATACCTGTCATGAACGTATTATGTATAGTTTCATTTTTTATACAGTTTTAAGTTAATATTTTTTTAGTTTCTAATCTTACTATTTATACAATTTTTTAAGTTTTTTCTTATTAAATTTGGTGATTTTCCTTTCGTTTATTTTTCTTTATTATGATCTTCCTATTTGAACGTAATTCCGTAACTTCACAAATTTAATTTGATAATAAAATATTGAGTTCAACTTTTTTTTTTTTTAAATTTTTCTTGAATTTTTTTTGACAATTTCAAGTAGGTCTACAGCTGACCACCACATAGCTCACATATTAAATGTGTGTATTAAAAAATTCGAATCTTAAATATCTAAAATATACATTTTTCCTATTGACTATACATATAACGCTAAATTCGTTTATAAATGAATACAATTATCACGTGGTAACTCAATTTAATAATTATGGAATAACAATGTAACATATAAACTACTGTAAAAATGCATCGATATAGGTTTTATTTTATTATCAAAAATTAACAATAAACATTACTTAGATACATTTTTGTTATGTTATTATATTATAAATATACAATACCATAAGAGTTAACTTAGGTCAATAATCAAAGTATAATATACATGATATAAAGTATTAAAAAAAAAAGATTATGGAAAAATGAAATTCATTATTTTTACTAACAGCTCTGAAAATTTATAAATTGTATTTGTTGTTAAATTAAACATTTTAAAAATTATATTGATAAAAATATTTTTGCTGAAATGCCATAGAATTACAAGTCTGTAATCCTTAACTTTCATAAGCGTATGAAATAAAAATGCCTTTCAAAAACACGCCCGGTGCATTAAAATAATGATAATAATAATAAAAAACTTAGTGGGGACTCGTAAAAAGCAGTAAAATCTTACAAAGTTTTATAGGTTCTGGAAATAAATGGATCATATGCGTCCTGTAAGTAACTATATAATAATAATAAGAATAAAAAAAAACATCGAATCATGTTAATTTTTTCTTATTCCGATTACTATCTATCAATCTAGATCAATCTAGTTAACTGTCCTTATAATTCGCAAAAAATGTATTTTTTAAACTTTATATTCTAATTAAATATAGCGTTTTGGTTTCTGATATCTATATATTATCGATGTATTGTTAAATTTCATTAAGTTCGGTTTTAAGACTACGCTATATTATAAAAGATTTATACGTAGCCCTTACATTCTTACTTGTGGCCTATCATAATATTTTACGTACTCATTAATGAGGGATTAAAGTGAATGAGTATTCCAGAGTACTCTGTAGTCGTGTGTGGCCTATTTTTGACACTGCATAAAGAACGTGCCCTTTATTTTTTTTTTTTTGATGAACATTGAACAGTTAAACCCTACACAATGACCTAATTCCCGTTAAAATAATTGATTGATCTCTAAATTTTGTTTTTTTATTTCGTAGTATTTTCATAATTTAGTTTTTAAATATAAACGGTATAATAGTTAGTAATGTCAGAAAAAATTATATATTATACTCTAATTTCATCATATTTTTATATTTTTAGATCTATATTTATATATATATATATAAATAAATATATTTAAATATTTATATAGTGCTTGAACCGCAGTATTAACTTTAAAAACCATTTACGATGTATCTCCAAATATTATTGTGTAATGCGAATAAAAAATAATACTATATGATATTTATTTAGTCAAAGTATATTTATTATATTCAATAATTGATCGTTATAAAATATTATTATGCATTCACTTTAACTTAATGAAAAACATGGAGGGGTTCATCCATTATATTGAATTTTGGTTTCAATTATATATACTTATGTATCATTACATTATTTTGGAAAATAAGCACGTGGTAACACAACTTTATCGTAGACCATCAAATAGATATAATATGTTAACCAAACACATTTGAATGTGTTCCCTAGAGAGTAATAGCACAATAGTAGTATATTGTGTATATAGTTTCTATTCACCTCTTTAATTTTTTAACGTTATGATAGATGTTTTTCACAAACATACGTGTGTGTTCGCAGACTATAAAAAAAATATATAGTGTAAAACGGTAAACCATTTCGGATAAATATGGACTGACCTGTGTTTCGGCGACGTTGGTGGCACTGATGCCGTTTCCATCCAGTGCGAAACCGGTTTCAGGTCCACGACCGACAGTCGAGGCCCCGACCTCCTACACATAAGTGTGTACACAAGACGCACACAAAATTTCTTATACAACGACGGCGATTAAACGAAACTCTTAATATATCGTACACCGATCGCGGTGGCGAAGAAAAACCAAAAAATTCGACGGGGAAGGAGGGAGAAATAATAAACACGAACGAAAAACTAAAAAAAAAAACCAACGATCACGTTTAAAAGTTCTTATCCGTTATCCCGGTCGAAACTACGCGACGACGACGAATAGCGCGTGGACGGCGATTACAATATTACTGCCGTACAGAGTATGAATACAATATATTATTTTAAAGACAATAGCAATAACAAAGAACAGTTGTGGTAGCAGTCGTAGATGATGTAGTCTTCGCCGAAGTACCCGAACACGGTGATCGAGTGTCAATGCGATTAAGTGACTGACGAAAAATGTGTTAATAACATTTTTTTTTAATCTATATTTGCATAACAATGAGTTATTTTGAGCTATAATAATAATAGAACCTGATAGTCAGGTAAGAAGTTAAATAAAATAAAAAATGTACAGCGAACCCACAGACGCGGATAGAAATATATAATATTATATTATTGTGGAGACGTGTGCGCGTGTGTGTACGTTATGACAGTGAGACACCGACCGTCACGCGGGAAATCTCTCCGGAGCGGGGGAGTGCTGGGGGGACGACGACGATGACGCGCGCGCGACGGCGTTGAGACTCGTGCACGGCGAATGGTAGGGATGAATGGTCCGCGGCAGACTGCCGGGAACGCTCAGGTTGTCGCGGCACGGCGCGCGCGTACGCCCGCGGCCACGCAGGGACTCGCGCGCGGTCTAGCGGTGCGACGAAGGGGCTACGCTTGTGGCATCCCCGCCGCCCTGCGGACGATGACCCAGTTCTGGTGCTGTCCCTTTCGGGAGGATTCAGTGGCGTCAGTCGCAGGGTCGTGTACGGCAAAAGCGTCCGGTGGTAATACGATAATAATAATAATAATAATAATATGTACAGTGGTCATTGGTGCAAAATTGGCAGTAGTGACGGTGGAGTGGGTGTAGTGAGTTTAATGAGTGGTGGTACAATGGGGTTGAAGGGACGTCGAGGACACGTGAGATTTAAAGAGTAACGCGAACGTGCACGCGCATCTTCGCACGCGCTACCACACGTTTACTCGGTACCTATTCATGAATACAGAACACAGGAACACAGTGGCGGGTCAAACGAGGTCTACTACAATCGTATACACTTGCGAACTTTAAAAATAATTTGAGATCGCACAAATGTTTATTGCTTATCGAAAGACTTAGTGTGAACTTTTTTTGTTCTTAAAATGTTTTTTTTTTTTTTATAAAAAATAAAATTTATTTAACCTAAATTTCATGCTAGCAATAAATAATAATCGTAAAAAAAAAAAATCAGAACTATTGAGTTATTTTATTGGACCATCTGTGAGTATTATAATACCAACAATATCAAATTCATCGACGCAGATACTAATGTTTTGTATTAAATAATACGCATTAATCATAATAAATGCTAACAGTTTTCGAAAAACTTTCAACGTACCGGCAATGCTCTCGGTACAAGTACAATAATTCATTTTGTACAGATGCAATATAGATTTACATTTTGTTTTACCTATAGGTCTTCGAGTACATTGTATTGCAGTTGTTTATATTGTATACGCATTCGTGCGGACCACGGGAGGAAATGCGATTTTATCTATTAATCTACACACCTGTATATATTCGACGGTGAAATGGACATTAAAGCGTGAAGTTCGCAAAGCGTAAATAACGGACGAAAGAGAACGCAAACAAGCATACCGTTATAATATAATCGTTATTGTGTTGGCTCAAATGTGAATTATCTGACCTTTGTAAAACAATAAAAACCTAGAAAATCGGGATTGGTTACTTGACCAGAAGAATTGTAAAAAATATTTTTCACCCCGGGCGGGTACATCATTTTGATTTTCTGTTACCAGTCTTTCTACTAATTCACAACACTAGTCAAGTATATCGTTAATTCTTTTGACCCATCGTACAACTGTTAAAAGACAAATATTTAGGATACATAGGATACTTACTATAATTTTCTTTATATTATTATTAATTATAATTATATATGATATAAATATATCATGTGCAAATCAAAAACAACGTTTTCGTGTTAGCTAAGAGAATTTAATATATATTCAGGAATCGTAAAAATTAAAACTTATGATTAAAATCATGACTTTTATCCTAAAAAATTGAGTGAAAAAAATAAATAACCACGGTACCAATGAACGCAGAAAAATAACTATATTGTATTCGGCTAACGAGATACGAATTTGGCCAAGGGATCAAGTCACTCCGACACCCTTTCGCAGCAGAAACCTGGTACAATTTGACGTAACCTTTTTAGAGTTTATTTTTTCAACAATACCTTTTTTATATGTATTTGAAAATCACAAGTCCGCGAACCTAGTACAACCGTGGTGAACGTTCAACGAAGTCTGCTCGAGACATGTATGAGTTCATTTTTGTCAATTGTTCATACTATATTATAATAATAATTGACTTTAACCTCTTTCAAACATTGGATACTCTCCGAAATAGTGTTTGCCTGCTCTGAGAAAGCACTGTAAATATAATCTATAAAAACAATTGCAAAAAAAGCTCAGACGAAAAATAGAATAATATATACGTTATAGGTTCAACGAAGCACCAAAATCACGTAAAAGTCGTAATAATTTATGTATTTTTGATCAATGGTAAATTTGATAAAGTTGGGAGTATAAGATGGCAGCTGTCTTTTAGAGGTTTTTTCGATGTGACACATAAAATCATGACATTATTCATTTAATTTCTACGTTGATAGTATAATGAAAGTAGTCCAATTACAAAGAAAAACAATATTAATATGCGTAATGTAAGTAACTAGCATAAATAAAAATAGGATATTATGTATGTAGTACATTTGAAATATAAACTATAAATTAACTAAAATCACGATATTATTGACCTTATACTGATTTGATTTCTGTAAATATTAATAACCTTGTCGCTGGCATAATATTAGTAAAATAGGAAAAATAATCAAGAGAACGAGCACGAGAATCTTTGAAAATGTTCTACAGTTGGAAGCATCTTAAATCCCGATAACCATTATACATAATATTCTCTTTCTTTGGATCCACTTCTGATCCGGATTTTTGGCTGAGTATAAATCCTCTAATCGTACCTCACTTTTTGTTCTACCTACCCCTAGCAACTTTGCAAATCTGCGTTAGAAAATAACGATGATGTAGACGAAATTTTAATCAAAACCACGTGCGGACAGAGTTTTGTTGTGAGGACATCAGGACATTCCGTAAACAGCTAAAATTTCGTGCCTACTGCAAATGAAATGTTTGATGGGAAGGGGGAGGAAAAAATGATTTTCTTTTAGGATCTGTTCCGATCGTCTGTAAATAAATGTCGGCGTATATTTAACAGTGACGTGACCAACAGCAATGCCCCTCATACACACAACATCGTATCGTTTGCGAATGACAGTGACGTTTCTAAGCGTATATACTCAAACACGCTCATGTCAAGTCGATTCTAAATGAAAACGAAATAACGTTAATAATGTCCGCGTTTTATTTTTTAATACTATTACCAACTAGAACTGTATTATCAAGATGTTGCTGTATGCGAATAACTTGCGATATCGATATTTATGAGGATCGTGCAAATGTGTGACGCAATAGACGACGATATTTTTTTAACGAGATAACGTGATTCGTTTTAGGAATGTTTGACTATTTGCAATGGACTTCAGTAATGTGTTCTGATCGAAAATTTATTTTCCTTAAAAACCTTTCCGTCCTAACCAAACATGATTACGTTTATCATAAATGAAAATTTGGTATACAACAGTAAACACATGGTATTTGTAAAGAGAAAAAAAGCAATAGTTTTTATGTTTCTCAGTCGTTCACGTTATAAAAAAAAAATTTAAATTTATTAAAACAATTTATATTATCGTTTTTCAAACATTACCACTTTGATAAAATAGATGGTAAAAATGTAATTTAATTTTTTCTTCGTGAAAAACTGTAACAAATAGTGAAAAAAAAGTTGTTTTGAAGAATGAATGCGAAAAAACTTAAACTATAATAACGTTTTAGTTTAACGGTCATCGCAATAATCTGTCATTTCGAACAGTTAAAAATAAAATAAAAATACATTCAATTTAATAACTTTTTTAAAACTGATGCAGTGTACTGGAAAATACTAACACATATATACTTTATAGAAAGATTCAAATGTATTGGTAAACGTATACATATGGTCTGTCATTGTTCGCTATCGTGTTAAAATCGGAATTTTTTTATATTTTTAAAGAATAAAACAGCTGCAAATCAACAACGCTGTAAGCATTATGTATTGGAATACTGATTGTGTATTGTATACACACTAAAAATGCATAAAAGTTAAGCTATGTGAAAAAGTAAATAATTATACATATATAATAACATTTTTACGATTTTCAAAGAATGACGGCATTAAAAACATATAATTATTACATTCTAAAAATAATATCATTGATCTCAAAATACAACATTTAAAACTACAAGAGTTAGCCTCTCGAATACAAATGAGTGAAAAATGGCTATTTATTATTTAAGTAATACTTCTGAATTGAATATTCTTATAATGGGTATCTCAAAGAGAACGCAGAATTTAAATCTGCAATAAATTAAATTAATTTATTTTAAAAACATAACAAATATATCATTTTTTTTCAGGAGAAGTAAACATTTAACAGTGAAAAACAATATCAGGCATATGACTCTCCCTTACCTAGGCGATTATTATTGCCATGAAATTTACCAGATCACTCGAACACACATTAAAATATTACCCTATCAAGTTCATTGAGGACACGACGATTTCTTGCATAAGTTCCAAAACATTTCAAACTTTGTTCCGGTAAACTCATGACTTAGTATTTCGCTATGAAAAAAAATCACATGCCGTCAAATCGCAAGATCGAAGTAGGTAGCTTTGGTCTTTGCGCAACGAGATTATTCTGTTCAGAAACTTCTCACGCAGCAGAATGACTGTTTCATTTAAAGTGAGACAAGTTGAAACCATACACATTTTATGTTAATTTGGTTCGAATAAGGCTAAAGAAAATTATTGAGCTCAGTATTTTTGTATGGTTACAACAAGACGGCGTAACTTGTTATACTTTAAGAGAAACAATCCCTCTGCTGCGTGAGAAGTTCCCGAACAGACTAATATCGTTGCGTAGCCAAAGCTACCCACCTCGACCTTGCGACTTGACGTCGTGTAATTTTTTTTTTATAGGGATACACTAAGTCACGAGGTTACCAGAACAAAGTTTGAAATGTCTTGGAACTTAAGCAAGAAATTCGTCGTATCCTTAACGAACTTCATGGGGCAATGCGTTATCCACTGAAGATAAATTTTATGGAAAGCATAATAGTATGTAAGGCTAGTAGGGAGGGTCATATGCCTTATATTATTTTTCAGTGTTAAACATTTTTTTTCATAGAAATTAATTTAATTTATAAAATATTAGAATTCCGCGTTATTTTTGAAACACCCTATATTTATTATACATGAATACATTTGTCCTATATATATATATGAAGGGTTCGAATTCCAAGCAACAATTAAACGTATTATATTGTATTGAACGGAGATCAATACCACCACAGACCTAAAATAGTACCCAGAAGGGTTTCTATAACCTACCGAACT